TCACATATGGACCTGGAATATCTTTTCTCCTAATATGGAGATGGCTCAGCAGTATTTAAATGACTCCTTATTCCAAGTCATATAAATATGCACCAGATGTATCTTTTGTAAATGTTATGTTTTTCAAGTTCTCAGCATTTGCAAGTAGTTGAAAGCTATGTCAAGCACGCTTTAATGGGGCATAAAAGTGTATTGTATTCAAAGAGATGGTACCGCTTTGTAATAGGGAGAAATACAAATGCTGTCGATGGCTACATTTCCACTTATTGATTTATGCTGCACAGCGGAGTGGTCTGTATTCTTTACACACGAGTTCCCTATCAGTTCGAATCTAACCATAGACAAGAAGTCTTGCCTCCATTAATGGATTCTCTAGACGACAGAAAATTCCCAACACTCCTAGAATCTCGGTCGACAGAGACTGAAAAGGTCAGGTCAATCCCACACCCAGATTGAACAGATGAGAACAGCTGAACCCCAAAAATGTTACCCTGAAGTCACCTCAGCACTGAGCGGCTGGGGGAGAGGGTGCAGGAACTCCCAGTCCCTGGGCATGAGGAACTTCCCTGTGCTCTCTCTCCACAGCACCTGTGGCCTGCACAAAAACATGAACAGTCAGAAGTGGAGCACAGATCACGTGTTGATTTCCTGGAGGGACTGTCGTCTATGTTTTTTTAAACTGTCGAAGTAGCTTATGGGAAGTAAACACAGGGAGTAAAATGTCATGCAATGGTCAGCACTAATGATTTTCAAGGAAGATCGTAATGCCTTTCTCTGATATGAAATTTATCTGACTCAAGATGAGCTTTCTCACTGAGACACCCAATAAAAGGCACCCAATAAGTTCTCCTCTCAATATTTTTTGATGATATACATTATATACATTACATATATATAATATATAATGGCTAAGAAATGTTTTCAAGTCCCACAGCAACCAAGTTGAAAACGTTTTGGGTTATTTGGGGTGGGGGGGGTGCTTTGCTTTGGTTTTTGTTTCTGAAGTTCTGCTGTTGTTGTTGCTCTTTGTTGTTTTTTTTTCTGTTTTTTGTGTTTGTAAATGCCCAAGAATAAGTCCTCATTGCACAACTTTTTGTCTTTTTTTAAGGAGAAAGAAGATCCTTTTCTTCCAGAATTCCGTGTGGCTGGAGCCTCTCGAAGGAGAAGGAAGGCGTTCGCTGACACACCTTAGCCACCCCTGACTCTCGCCTACTTCATCTCCTATCATGTACTGCCTCAAATCGTTCCTGGGAATGAGCCAGACTATTAAATAATGAACCCGCTAGGTAAGAGGCATTCTCTGAAAGGCAAGTAACTTTTCACTTTGACCTTCACAAATAGCATCTTGCCCTCCCGGGCCCAGGGGCAGCAGTGAATAATCTCAGGTAAAAATGAAGTCATAATTGAAGTTTTCACAGACTGTGCATCCCCGTCCCCGTGAGTGGAGTTCCCCTGCTTCACAGAGTTCCACAGCTGAACATATGTCCTCTCTGGCTTCAGACGAAAGCACATATTTTCTTTCTCGAGCCAGGAGCCAGGTTTTGCACACCAGGTCAGTGCATGAACCAGCAGCTCACAGTCCAGAGAAGAAATGCAGGCAAGGCCAGCTCAGAATCCGCCCTCCACGGGCAATGCGGGATGCTTATGAAACACTGCCACTGTTTCCCAAGCAATATCATGACTCCTAGAAGCTTGGGCAGTGGTCCTACCTATGTGCCATAGGCACTCACTAGTCAAGCTGGTGTTAAAGGCATGTCCATCACCACTGGCCCAGGTTCCCTCACAAGAAGATCAAAGGTTCCTATGCCAGCCGTCAATGCCATAGTTAGGGGTGTTGCTCTCCACCACTAAGTGATTTTTTTTTCCCAGGGTGCTGGGAAACGCAAAAGCCAATACTTTTCTGTCCAGACGGGGAGCACAAGAGGGAGTGTAGATACACCCACGTTCTTGCCAAGAGGCTTAGTCTAACTTGCCATGCTTCTGTGTGAACGCAGCATCCACAGCAGAGTTGTGCCAAGTTAAGATGGGAACCTTCTTCTGTTCTTGTTATCACAAAGGGCAGGGATAGGGGGAGGACACAGTTACAAAGGGTCAGGTGGCCTTAGGAACGGTTGCCACCTTTGTTCTACTACAAAATGGGACGAAGGGGCTGAATTCACCAAACGTCACAGAAGCACTTAGCAAACTGACATAGAGATGTCCTGAGGGGGCAATGTCCGGGGAACTCCAAGATGCAGAAGCAAGGACAGAAAGCAGAGGCGCACATGTCTCCTCAGCTACCCACAAATTCAGAAAACAGTAAACCATTGCTACTGGAAGACAGTGTCTTTAGCAGACAAGCTACAACTTAGAAACGCAGCATCCCCATACCATGACCTTGACAGGTGGCACAGGCCTGTGTCACTCAGCTGGTGTGGCTGCCAGTCCTCAATACAGAGTCCACCTTGAAGAGAATTAAAGTAGGAGAATACAGATAAGGTTCAAGCTTCAATGCCTGGTTCATTATCATTTTTAGTAAACTCTAGTAATATTATTAGTGCCACTGTCCGTGTGGGTTTTATGATGGTGGAAAGTCCTGCATCACCCTGCTCCTAAATGAGGTGTTTTCTCAGAAGAGTTCACCCTTTCTCACACCCCTGAAAGAACTTGAGCACATAGAACTGGATTCTGGTCCCCCAACCCAGGCCGAGGAATTCAACACACAAGAGAAGGGATCGGAAAGGGGACAGGACCCAAGACCCACACAATTGCCTTCTGTAGCATGGCTTTAGCATGTGTTCGCAGGCACAGTCATCCTGACCACATGGACAACGTCACCTGCCCCTTTTGATAAAGTTCCGACTGAGGGTAACAAGGACAGTTCTAGAGAAGGACAAAGGAATATCGCCTATGTTGACAGATCCCAGGCTCCCCTCTCTGTGCATTGTGAAAACAATGGCCTTAACTTGTTTTTCATTCCCAGAGAGCACAAAGGGAAAATCTTACCCAATTTAAAGTGACACTAACGAGATGTCTATTGGAAGCCCAAATGGGACAATCTCACATCCAGCAGGTTGGTACTCCTTCTACCAAGGACTCTCCCTAAGAACACAATCATGCTGAATTGATAGCCAACAACCGTAGTCAGGAGAGAGGTTGCCCTTCACAACATCGCTTCCCCAATCCCACCAAGGCCAGCCCTTGCCTTTTCTGAGTTACCCGAAAGACAATACCCTGAGAGACCAATCCAATGCCTTCTCAAGGCCTGCTACTCAGAACTGTACCACCTTTAAGGCATAAAGCTCAGGCTAGCATTTAGAAATGGAAAACGAACCTAACCCAATGGTTAATACACTGAATCTTTATGGGAATGTATAGTGTGTGTGTGTGTGTGTGTGTGTGTGTGTGTGTGTGTGTGAAGAGATATATACATAAAGATATATATTTCAAAATACATATAAAGATATACATATATACATATCATCTTTTAATATCCACAAAAATCAGTTTGGCTGTTACCCACTGTCATTGAACTACAAGCAAAGAACAGATCATGTGTGCACTTGGTCCTGCATTGATGTCTAAAACCTGGAGTGTGGAGCAGATCTACAGCCCAGGCCCTGTGAAGAGATTTCTATAAGTTCCACTTCAGCTACCCCAACCCACACAAGAGTTAGAGAAACCTGGTAGGCAGGCTGTGTTTAGTAGATGGGGGTAGAAGGGTGAGAGGGCAGGAACTTTGGTGTGGCCTGGGCAAGGAGAAGAGATGCAGCCCTGGTCTCAGCCGTGCTCCTCTGAGGGATTTCTTCCTTGATCCAACTCACTTCCTATTCACAATTGATTTTACTCGAAGAACCCTCATCACTGAAGGCCTGAGAGTTTCACAAATGAGACTTTTGCTACCACATAGCACAATGGTCGCTGCTGTCTCCAGCTCCCCAACGTCAGGAATGGGCGGCAGCATTATCTCAATACGTCTTTTTGTTTGTAATAAAGGGAGGTTTTGAAAAATCACAACACAACCGTTTTTAATGTCTGAGTTTAGGGGGTTTGCTTTTTCTTTTCTTTCTTTAAGGCTGAGGCTAAAGGCAGCTGATAGTGGCCAGTCCTGATTGGCCAACATCTGCTTCTTTACAGGGACCTTACTTGCCAAGTAGCTGGACAGCAACACCCATTTGGTATTCATGGGAAGTGCTTGCCGAACAATAATGACAATAATTGCCTCTGATTCTTGTGTTTACAACACTGCCAAAGTATCATTAGGGCCTTATTTATAGATAATAATGCTTATTAATCACAAGTATTTGAATTTTGGAATGTATTAGATTAATATTCTTTTGTACCTCGGCTCTGTACTAATGTTGTGAAAGGCGCTCACTGAATGCAACTCATTGGGAATGCTTATTTCGAGCTGCAGAATAATGTGCGCAACTTGCAGGTGAAAGAGAGAGAAATTCCATGGCTACCTCTCCACAGCCTCCACAGAGGCCGGTGGCCAATGGGGAGAACCAGCCCGGCCTCTTAAACGAGAAGGAAAAGAAAGCAACGTAAATAGCCCTATAGGTATTTTTTTTTAAAAGAAAATCTTGTAAATACTGAGCTTGAGAGACATTGCTGACAGGATGTGTGTTGTTCTGTTTTGCCTCAAATCTGTGGATAGGTCGTTTTATTGGGAAGGGTCTGGCATGAGGAACAGTCATTGATAGCTTCATAGTGCATACGTTTTTAAAATCTCCATGGAAGAAAAAAACCATTGAGTGGTTAATAAAGCTGGTAGACACACTACTTTAATGTCTAAACACCTACTCGTTACAGGATCCACCGTATACTTATTTGCTAATCTCTTTCTACACATTTAATTTCTGTGCAGACTTATATGTCACCTAGTATTTCTCTACGTTTGTGTACAACTGAAAATAGGAATCATTAAAATTTTCAGAAGAGTATCATCATTTTTCCAGGTTAATGCAATCTATATTAGTATAATAAAAAAAACTTTATAAATAAACAGACAGCATTACCAGTTCATAGTCCACTCGGCCTCCTCTCTCCAGAGATCACAACAGAAATGAATTCTGCAAGGTTTTCTTCTCCTCTAGCACAGTTTTATTTACCTTGCAGTGTTCACGCTGTGTGTGGCGGAACAGTGTTCAGCTTGTTTAATTAGAGGCCTGCAAAGTAATGAAGGGACATGATTCTCCAGGAATTTTTTTTTTCAGAATAAAAGCAAAGTTTATCAACAAAAAGTCCAGGTGCCCTTTCCCTCAACAATATTTGCAACTAGATAAGACTTTTAAAGGCACCTGTAATTAATGTCTACTAATGTTCCTTAGCTAAACCCGTATCGGTTCAACGCCATGCTGTTCCACACACCACTTTAAATTGTCCCCAGCCCCATTGCCACCCACGATAATTAACCTTGTCTTTTCTCCTCCTCTCAACTTTGGCCTCCATAAAAAGTAAGAGGGCTACATCTTTAAATCACCAGATTACACTACGAGAACTGCCCACCCCCCAAAACCGGAAAAGCCTGGAAGGCTTGTTCAACAAATGTTTCCTAGTCTGATCATCCAAAGAGACTAAGACCCTAATTCATTACAAGTAAAACGGAAAAAAATAATTCACAGCTTAATATAAACAATTCTAGTGTTCCCAGTTGGGGTTCTTTACTATCAAAGCATGCTATGATATGTGTATGTGAACTCTCATGAGTCAAAGCAGGAAGGTGGACAGCTACCCAACAATTCAATGAGTATTCATGGCAAGGTCTGGTAAGTTGGGCCCCTCAACCCTCTTTATATAAGTCTTGGCAGGCACACTGCTCTCAGCTCTGTGCAGAGGTGCACGCCCATATATGCAGGGGTATATACCCATCTGTGCAAGGGTGCAATGCCCATCTTTGTGGGCATTGCTAGAAGGACGCGTCATCACTCGATAGCTGACAGACTTAGTCCAGATCGTCCCAATTCACTATGACAGCAAATTTAGATTGCACAATTTTCACTCTTTTCTTAAGGGTGAGAAGAGAGGGAGAGCAGACATACCTGAATTATACAAATAATTCACTCAATTCTCCCACTTATTTTTGCCTTCTTCAGACATGGCCTGAAGATGGCATTGTGTCGTTAAAAGATGCTGTTTCTTGGATGAGGAAGAAAAGCAAGGCTCTGAGAGGCCCCAGGTCCTAGGCTAACTGACTTGCACCACTGAAGTGGAAGGATGGAGGTTGTTGAGGTGTTGCTGAACCCCACTACACATCTCACCCAAATGCTTACAGACTTGGTGTGGGAGACACTAGAGACAGCTATGGAAGAGGAAAATAGGGAGGGAGAAAGGGGGAAGGAAAAGAGAGAGACTAGTCTATGAATTTGAGTTTAAATTTGAGGGTATTGAGAAGATAATTCTTTATGAAAAAAAATGGCTTGACAGAATAACTTATATTCCACCAACACCCCGCAGTTTTCTATGAGCCTAGTTGGATATGAAACTTGAGATCTGTCAACATTTTATAGTTCCCTGATTTAATAAGCATTTTTCCTTCTTTTCTTTAACTGCCAAATTTTTTAATGAAATGGAATCTTGGATGCCTACGTTCTGGGGTTTTTTTTATTTGCTATATTATAGTTGCCTTCTTTTAGGCCATGAATGCCAGAGTCTTTATTCTTACAAATCTCTCTACATGTGTACTCTGAGCTTGCTAACTAGTTCTTTACCCACTTCATTAATTAAATTGACAGAAAAGGTTATTTTCCCATGTTTTGGTGAATGACTCTTCAGAGGAATGTTTGAATGAACATTTCAGTCTTAAGTTAGTACGTAGCCCCGTGTCCTCAGATCACACCACAGCAGCAGATAGGAAACTTGCTCAATTTTAGAAAAAAAAAAGTACGTTTTTGAAACTCATCTTAAACTGCTAACTAGAGAAAAATGTTCTGTTTTTAATTTTTGACATGTTATTGCCACCATTTTAATTTTGAACTTTTAAAGAAATTAAGGATAAAAGTAAAAAGAATATTGTGATAAACTAATTTTTAGTTCGCATTTTTGTCACTAATATTTGGGAATCGTTGATGAGTCATAAACCCTTTAAGTGCTCTTCCAAACAAATAGTAACAAATCCAGTAGGGAATCACTGTGACTATGAACATATATATTTTGCAAGGCAAATGTACTTGTATTCGAACATAAAAACTCAAGATAATTTTATAATATCAGTGTAAAAAAATCATTCATAAAAAAAAATGTCCCTAATCACAAGATTCAGGAAACTTCAAAACTTTATCATTTTGATTTGTTCAACTAGGACCAATAGACCTCGAAAGAGAAAATTCAGGTCCGGCATTTCTTTACATTTATTTAACACAAATGAACGCTTGGAGTCCTGCCAACGAATGTCAATATATTCATTTTGACGGTAATCCCTAACAGCAACAACAAAAATAAAGCTTCCAAAAAATCCGAAGATTCAAAATACCACTTAAAAGAAGCAAGTATGGAATACGTCACCCCACATCTATGCAAATTATACTTCAAGGGAAAATATATACTTCAAATTTGCTTCTTGAACAGAGTTAGCCTACAGATCCCCTCTCAGTGCTCAGCGAGGCCTATAATGGTAACTACCTCAATGTGGTTTCTTTACAATGGGAAGAACAAAACAAAACTGTTGCTCTTTCTTTCATCGTATCCCGATTTGATTTTTGATCTAAGACAATAGCATTCAATGTATAAAAAAAAGGACAAAAGGAAAAAAATATCTGACTTTAGATGGAATGTTGATGTTTTAAATATACCTTTTTAAAATGCGCTACCATTTTTTTTATTCTACACCAAACACATTATTTAAGTGCAGAGTACCTTTCAATGGGCTTAACACAGTGCTAGGAATCTCTTCTTCTTTTCTGGGGTGTCAGCTACCAAAAGCCCCATTCGCATTTGAAAAGGAATTTTGACTTGTTTCAGTATCAGATACACCCAGTTCCTCTTGCTTTCAGTCGCTGCTATTTAATGCATTGTTAATCATAGAACTGCGGTATATTGCACATGGATGGGCATGTTCTATGCAAATATATTCTGTTGGGGTATGTATATATTTTGTTATGTTCTGTACATAAACATCTACCCTTGTGCATATGTATATTTACATCATGTGTAACTATGTGGAGTATATTACCAAACTGTACTATACTTAAGAGGAGGAGGAGTTTCGAAGGGGTGCCAGGCAATATTTTAGTTAACTGTTAACTGAGTCCTTTTTTTTTTTTTATGAAAGCCATTAAGTTGTATTTTGGGTTTTGTTTTTCACAGTCCCAAAGGTGGGTGTTGACAGACACGATTATTTCCTGTTTTCCAAAAAGGCCAGTTTTAAAATATTATGTTAACATCTGTTTTAAATAATTAAAAGTGGAACCATCCCCTTTGCATCTACCTTCTCCTAGCAAAGCCTGTGGGCAGAGATCCTGATAAATAATTCAAAGAAAAACTTAACTTTGATTTCACAAACAAAAGCTCATCCCCTGAAACACTAACATCCCACAATTAACATGCTTTGTGAAAATGTGGTTGCTTCTAAATTATCTCAGGAAAAGGACTGGCTGACACTGGATCAAGATGCTGGCTGCAATGGCCTCTTGGGGTAGGTTAGTGTGTGCCACAGTTACTCAGAGGTTTTTCTGCTGAACAGAAGGTCTCCAAGAACTACACCCCTAGCAAAGTCCTCTAATATTAGTAGATCCAAGAAACTGATGTCTACCATATTTACACGTGATGTAAATATACATATGCACAAGCATCCATGTTTATGTACAGAACAAGATCTACACACATCCCAGCTGAATACATTTGCATAGTAGTACATGCTCATGTGCAGCAGACCAAACTTCTAGGGCTAACAGCAGCAGCTCAAAACAGAAGAAAAAACTATTGAAAAAAATGCCATTGGTATTTCTTGATTATTAGAAAACCTTGGGTGCAAACTGTTGTGCAACAGAGAGCAAGCGCCATGAAGTTTCTTGTCTATGGTCTTCAGAAAGCTCGTGGTCCAAAAATGCAATGTAGCTTCACAGCCCAGAAGAGAAGAAAATCTTTAATGTGTTTATAAAGGTCCCTGTCCTGTCTCCCCTTGAGGAGTGAACAAACTGGATGGGACACAGAAAGGAGAGCGAACAATTCCTGGTTAATGATTTAAGAGAGAGGAATTTATTTTGCCTCAACTTTCCTTTAACTAGTTCACTTTTTTTTCCCCATGAAGAGAAATTTGATAGCCCCTGTTCTTTATGAAATTATGGAAACCACAGATAGAAGAATGGGGAGTCATTATTTCAGAACTGGAAAGAAGTAGGTGTCCTTACTTCCTCCTTAAATTGCCCAGTACTGGAAAGGAGCCAGGAAGTCGAAAAGGTGCACAACAGACCACGGTTATGGGCTGAAGCCCATGTTCTTCCTCCTCCGTATTCCGCAGAAAACAAACCAAAACAAAACAAACAAACAAAAAACACTGCTATCCAAAATCCTTAAGACCAAGACAGAGAGAAAGTAGCTACCCTAAGGACTCCCTAAAACATGGCTTTTGGATGCATGAACCCCAGTGTAAAGCAAGAAAGAACAAGCTGTATGATTCTGTTACATGTCCAGCTAGTATTGTCCCTGTTGGCTTTACCTTGGTTCACGTGGGGCCGGCTATTCATAACAGCCCCGGAACCACGAGGGACCACAAGGGACATCTCTGGGGATCTGCGCGATGACCTAATCGAAAGAGAGAGGATGCAAAATCGAAAGATAGAGAACCAGCCTGGGGCAGACGGAGGACTTTAGGCTCTGCGCCATAGGTACCCACACTGGAGGAAACCTACTAGTTAGCACGGAGCATCCTGCTGCGCCTCCTGTCCTGCCTTTCCACGCTTTGCCCTGCCCTGCCCGGAGCTTCCCTGCGCGCGCGCCTCACTCACACGCACACGCCTTAGCACACGCACACACGTGCGCACGCACACTGCTCCCAGCAGCGCCTCTCGCCAGACCGTGGGGCGACTTCCCCCCTCGGAGGGGCGGCGGCCCTGCCCCGCCTGGCACAGTCCCGCAAAGGGACAGAGAGGCACTGGGGGCTCTGGAGTGCGTGGGCCGTGACCGAAGACGCACGGCGGCAGGTGGCAGCAGGGGCTTCTCAATGGAGGGC